CCCCCCCCCCCCAAAAAAAAAAAAAGAAAAAAAAAACCATAATTTTGGGGCATTCATCAACTTTATCATCCCCTTAAAAGGAATCCAGTTGATCAAGCTAGGCTTATGGTTGTTATCATGATTATATGCATCAATTTAAGACTATGCTTTCTGCCAAAAACCAATTAAGACTAAGCTTAAATAACTCCAGAAAACAGACCTTAAAGCCTTTCACTCAAGCCTCTTTCATAGAGTCCCTTCACTGCACTTCTTGGAATAGCAACCTTCGAAATATCCTCTGTTTCCCTAAGTGCCATGGATAACTGAAAGGGAAGATTCTTTAACAACTGATTCTGCCAACAACAAACTCCTTATTTATAGCTCTTTCAGTAGCTCGAACACAATGCAATGATATTGCGTTTAATGATCATAGAAGGTCATTAAGACAACTCTACTATTTGATTAGGTGGTTTATATGTGTCGATTTTGTTCCAATAAAAAAGCCTTATTTCTTCCTGATCTTTACAAGATGGACGCCGAGTGCTTGTCATTGAAAGAGACTTAAGTCTGCAAGACAGAATAGTTGGTGAATTGCTTCCACCCGGGGGTTATCTGAAACTGATTGAATTGGATCTTGAAGGTAAGCAAAAATGTTGTTTGGAAAATATTTCAATTGATACTACCTTGCACGAAATAAGTTGGTGAAATTGAAGAGGTTCAAATATCGAGTGTAACATGTAATTCACATTAATATGCTGCAGATTGTGTCAATGGAATTGATGCCCAAAGAGTGCTCGGATATGCTTTGTTCAAAGATGGAAAAAGTACTAGATTGTCCTACCACTTGAAAGGCCTCCACCCGGACATAACTGGGAGAAGCTTTCACAATGGGCACTTCATACAACAGATGCGAGAGAAGGCTGCAACATTTCCGAGTACTTAACCTTCCCTCTAATGTTTATAGCACCTTCATGTTACTCATATGCAGGAATTTGCTATAGCTATTTCTGACGGTTTCTAATATGATTTGAAAATTTCCATGCTACCGTTATAAAAATAACTCTGTCCGTTATTCTATGACATAAGCCTTCATTCTCAAATGTATTTAGAATTTGATTTGGATGTCTAGCATACTAGTCATAATCTGTGTATTGGTATATCTTATTGGTACATTGACATAGTAGTAGCAGAGTGTGTCAATTTGTTCCCGTGCTAGGTCGCTTCTGTATCCCCCTAATGACATTGAATTGGAAGCTATTCAATTGAATGAAAACTTTCTTGTGTTTTTTCAATTCTTGATGTGCCCTCTTAATATGTTATCCAATGTAAAACTAGAACAAGCTACAGTGACATCTCTAATTGAAAAACGGGGGACTGGTAAAGGAGTGCAATACAAGACTGCAAGTGGTCAAGAAATGACAACACATGCTCCTCTCACCATTGTATGTGATGGGTGCTTTTCAAATTTGCGACGCTCACTATACAAGCCCAAGGTTAAGTTGCTACCTCAATTTCATCTTACAATGTTGGTCAATTTTTCCTGGCTATCATCGATTATGCTATTACACTTCTATTTGAACATCAATTCTGAATTCTAGGACGTGTAGTTTTCATTTGTTGTGGCAGCGTATAAAAAAAAATGTCACTTTAATTCTGCAGGTAGACATTCCCCCTTTTTTTGTTGCTTTGATCCTTAAGAATTGTCAACTACCATACGCAAACCATGGACACGTTATTTTAGCAAATCCTTCACCCATTCTGTTATATCCCATCAGTAGTACTGAGGTCCGCTGTTTAGTAGACATACCAGGCCAGAAGGTGCCTTCCATTTCTAATGGTGATTTGGCTAGTTATTTGAGGACCATAGTTGCCCCTCAGGTATGTGCAATTTGCCTATTTATGATTTCTAGCCATTTATTTATGTTTTAATATTGGTGACCACATTTGAAGTCTTAATGAAGCAAATATGATATCTGTAGTGTCTTAACTTTGTGATTATGGCACTTGGTTTGCTTCACATGATGATCATATTATTTGAGGACCAGCTGCTTCTCATCCCACTCCAGGTGAACTTTTAATGGGGGATGCATTCAACATGAGGCATCCATTAACAGGAGGAGGAATGACAGTCGCTTTATCTGATATCGTTGTGCTTCGGGGTCTTCTTAGAAATCTACAAAACTTGAATGATGCACATGCTTTGTGCAAATGTCTTGAATCCTTCTACGCATTGCGTAAGGGGAGTAGCATTCTTCTCTTTGTTTTTCATGTTGTGTGTGGTTTGCTTTGAGTTTCATCCTGGAAAAGCCTTACAATCATCATGTATGTTACTTATCTAGGTTTTTCAGAATTCTTCATTAAATCAGAACAGAAATGTAAACAATCTGGTAGTTTTATCAAAGCTGAACTCAAGCAAAGATTGAAGAATTACTAAAAACGAGCACCAATTTGTTTGCAGCCAGTGGCATCAACAATAAATACTTTGGCAGGTGCACTATATAAGGTATTCAGTGCTTCGCCAGATCGAGCAAGGATAGAATTGTGCCAAACATGTTTTGAGTATCCAAGTCTTGGGGGTATATTTTCAAATGGACCCATTTCTCTGCTATCCTGTCTGAACCCTAGACCAATGAGCTTGGAGCTCCATTTCTTTGCTGTGGCTATCTATGGTGTCTGTTCCATGTTACTTCCATTTCCCTCACCTAACCGTGCATGGCTTGGTGGTAGATTGATCTCTGTAAGTGACTCTCAGACTCAATTTCTTCCATTATAAACATCCAATTCTAAATAAAAACTATTTCTGTCAAATTGATCTTTTCTTCTTTCTGCTCTCTGAGGATGCGTCGAGTATCATTTTCCCCATCATAAAGGCTGAAGGAGTCAGACAGATGTTCTTCCCTGTAACCGTTCCAGCATACTACAGAGCTCCTCCCACTAATTGAGGCGACGAATACAAAGTTCTTTTCTGCGTCAGAGAAAACCTGTACTGCATCAATCGATCACCTTCCGGTGATGGAGAGGATGGTTGGAGTTGGATATCAACTTTAGCTAGGAAAGCACCTTATGTAGCGTTGATTCTACTTCAAATTTTTAGTGTCAGTTCTTAAGTTGCCAGACAAAATTTCATCTGTTCATGATTCATTTTTTCTTTAAAGCAATAAATAAGAGCATTCTTTCATTTCATGTTTCTTTTACTGAGTGTATATGAAGTTTGATATCATTTTTTTAAGTTAAAGCATGCACGTTGTTAGTTTAGTTTTTAAAGTGTCAATTTTGTGTTCAAAGTATTTAATTCGTATTTAAATGATCTTTACATAGACGTTTTGACGGAATAATTATGTGTTAGACACACGATATTGTCTGAAAGAATATCACATGGTCACTTCTGTCAAAAAAATTTAATAAATTGTCTAATTAAGGATTAAAGTGACACAAATTGATTTTATTTTTTAACAAACGCAAGACAATAGGGTATGAAGGTACGAGTAACAAAATGAAAACACACTTTGATCCACAAGCTAAGTAACGATTCGATAATTATATATGAATGGCATATGGAATGACATACTAAAGAATACAGGGAGTAAAGTGCTAAAGAATAAACTAAAGGGGTGTAAAATATAATTTGTCCTAAAAAACATACAAAATGTGTACCTTGTTGGGTCGGGTGTTATTTTAGATCCGCCCCATTGATTACATCATAATCTTCCACGGTTTTTAGGTACACGTGTCTTACATCCACGTTTTCTGATCTCAGCCGTTAAGCTAGCGAGGAAGTTTCTCAATGACCAAAACACCACAACCTTTACTCCAGACAATATTAACCTCACTTGGACCTAATCAACCCTAATCTTTCGTCAGAATCCCTATCGTGTTCTCTTCCTCGTGTTTCCTCGCAGACTCTCTCTCTCTCTCTAAAATTGCAGATTCTGACATTATGCTTTGAGGTTAGCTTGTGATAGAAAATCTGTATTTGTGTGTATATGTATATATTTGTTCTTTATTTTAGCTTGCTATGCCTTTGTATTGTGTTAATTCAATAAAACTTCAGATTCATACTATATTCTCTATTTTTTTAGATCAATCTCTGTGTGTGTGTGTTCATGCTAGGATTGATGATAAATTCGATTGATCTTAACTGTTAACCAGTGATCAGATGCCATTCCTTTATGAGTGACCTTTATTGTTCAGTAATTTCTATTTTGAACTTGATTAGTTTGTGATAGCGGTAGAAATAATGTGTTGGTTTGTGGTCAAAAACTAAAATAATCAAAGAAAAAATATAATTTTAGTGGCTAAATATTCCTAGATATGATTGCCCTGTTTTTTTGTGATTTTACTCTTTGGAAATAACTTGAGAATCAGCCTGTGTCTAATGTTTGAGATATCAAGAATCACCAATGTCGTAGCAGCATAGTGTTAAAGAAGTTAGCAGAAGCAATTTTGAGTCTTGAGTTTAGTTCTTATGCGGGTGCATCTCAAATTGCCTGTTAAGTGAAACCAGTTGATGTAAATATGTTCGGTGAAGGGTTTTGTATTAGTTCAGTCTATCCCTCCAATCACCTTGGATTGGCAAATTGCATTAGATATTGGCCTCTGTGTGGGGTATGTGTAGGGGGGAAAGAAGTTACCCAAAGGCCTCCCTTGAAAGATGCTTAGCAATATATGCTTAGTTTTTCATGTAACCTAGATGGCCATAAAGTACTACCTTCTATTTGTCTTAGTTGTTGACGTGTTGACTCTTTTGTTGCCCAGGACGTATCATGTTTACATCAATCAGAATGTGTATTCATGTAGGTGTGCTGTGTGTCTCATTTCAAGTTCTTTTTTGTGTCATTATTATGTGGAAGTCAACCTGAACCAGTAATGGCAAGTTTATGGTTTTTAGATGAGGTTGATGTTTTTCATGCATGGATTTAACATGTTTCCTTCGTGTGTTTCAGTGTGTTGCCGCCTTCATCATTCCTTAGGAAATTCATTTAAGACATTCTAGGTTGAGTTGCATATATGTTTCATGAAGTTCCTCTTCCTAGAATTCCCTGTCACCCAATTATCAAGAAGTTGAACAGCAAAAGTCGAGAATTTAATCAGTGTATTTCTCATGGAGGAATACGATATTGTAGTTGGTCAAGAGTTTCCTGATGTGAAGACCTTCCGGAGTGCAATTAAAGAAGCTGCAATTGCGCAACACTTCGAGCTTCGTATTATAAAAAGTGACCTGATTCGTTACATTGCAAAATGTGCCACGGAAGATTGTCCATGGCGCATACGCGCAGTTAAGCTGCCCAATGCCCCAACATTCACAATAAGAAGCCTCGAAGGAACACATACTTGTGGAAAAAATGCACAAAATGGGCATCATCAGGCTTCTGTGGATTGGATTGTGAATTTCATAGAGGAACGGCTCCGTGATAACATCAATTATAAACCAAAAGATATTTTGCATGATATCTATAAACAATATGGGATTACTATACCATACAAGCAAGCTTGGCGTGCAAAGGAGCGGGGTCTTCAAGCAATATATGGCTCTTCTGAAGAAGGGTATTACCTCCTCCCTGCATACTGTGAGCAAATTAAAAAAACCAATCCTGGAAGTATTGCAGAGGTGTTTACTGCTGGTGCAGAGAACCGGTTTCAGCGGCTCTTCGTTTCCTTTTATGCGTCAATACATGGGTTCTTGAATGGTTGCTTACCAATTGTTGGACTTGGCGGAATCCAGCTTAAAAACAAGTACCTAGGCACCTTACTTTCGGCCACTTCTTTCGATGCTGATGGTGGTTTGTTTCCTCTTGCTTTTGGTGTTGTTGATGCAGAAAATGATGAGAGCTGGATGTGGTTCTTATCAGAGTTACATAAGGCTCTAGAAATGAACATAGAGACGATACCACAGCTCACGTTCTTATCTGATGGACAAAAGGGCATCGTTGATGCTGTAAAAAGGAAATTTCCTACTTCATCTCATGCAGTTTGCATGAGGCACTTGAGTGAAAGCATTGGCAAAGAGTTCAAGAATTCAAGGCTTGTGCAACTTTTATGGAGAGCTGCATATTCCACCACCAACATTGGTTTTAAAGAAAAATTGGCAGAAATTGAAGAGGTTTCTTCTGAAGCAGCAAAGTGGCTTCAACAATTTCCACCATCCCGTTGGGCATTGATATATTTTGAAGGAACACGGTATGGCCATCTCTCTTCAAATATTGAGGAATTCAATAGATGGATTCTTGAAGCACGGGAGCTGCCCATAATTCAGGTGATTGAACGAATTCATGGTAAATTAATGGCTGAGTTTGAGGAATGCCGGTCCAAGAGTAAGTCATGGTTTTCGGTACTTGCTCCATCTGCTGAGAGGCGTATGAATGAAGCAACAGACCGCGCTTCAACATATCAAGTCCTTCGATCAGATGAGGTAGAATTTGAGGTTCTGTCCTCTGAACGATCAGACATTGTGAATATCGGGACACATAGCTGTTCTTGCCGTGATTGGCAGCTGTATGGAATACCGTGTTCCCATGCTGTTGCTGCCCTAATCTCATGTAGAAAAGACATGTATGCCTTCACAGAGAAGCGTTTTACTGTAGCTAGTTATCGTGAGACATATTCAGAAGAGATACACCCCATCCCTGGTAAAATTGAATGGAAGAAAGAAGGTGAGACTCCTATGGATGATGACATTCGAGTTGTGCGGCCACCCAAGTTCCGTCGACCTCCTGGACGACCCGAAAAGAAACGAATGTGTGTAGAGGACCTTAATCGAGAGAAGCATACTGTGCATTGTAGTCGTTGCAACCAAACGGGACACTATAAGACAACATGCAAAGCAGAGACCATGAAGGGTATAGAGCAGTACTAGAATCTTGGTAGTTTTAAAGTTGTAGTTAAAAGTTATAGTTGTTGATAAGCCATGCACAATCAGTTCTCATGGGTAGTGCTGGTTTGTTAGGAGGGTACACTAGCTATTCAGGTGTTGTAAAATAGGTATCTCTGTCACATGTATGCTTGTGTATTTCAATGAATGGTGTGAGGGTGTTTATTACTATCCATGCCTGGATGATTGAAACTTTTGTCATCCTTCTATGCTATTAATTGAGCCTTGATAGTTGTACTACATTGCTTATAAACCAAAACTAGAACGATGGAAGGAGTATATTCATTCGAGTGATACCTCGTTTGGAAATTAATCTCTCTTTTTACAACCATCACTTGTTTCTTAGAGGCAGGAGTTTTGTGTATCGGGTATGACCTCTTCCCACATAGTAATACTTGTTTCGGAAACAGTCTAAAGACCTAGCTGTTTGGATCTCTTGACACGTTGAGCCGGAGTTTGTAAGAATGTAATTTTATTATAGGTTATCGATGTATGTATTACGTAAAACCCAACTACCGTTTTCGTATTTCGAATTTCACTCTCTTTCCTCTCGAGAACGGAGACTATTTCGTGTGCCCTACCTCATCCGACAGCTTAACCCTTGTTCGCCGACAATTCTCCCGCGTTCTCATCGATGATCGAGCTCCAATCGTCTACCGGTATGTCTGTTGCTTACCCTTTCCGTATTCTTCTTCCATTTTTTTTGTTTGTTTCCCTTTTCCGCCTTGTTGTTCGATTTGGGATGGGGTTTCATTCATTCTTGAGAATTTCTAGAGTGAGGGATAGTGGCCTTGATTTGAAATATAAATTTGCTACAGCGTCAGTACATACTCTATACATTATGCAGAGTCAATTATGGTTTTGGCAATTGGCATGAAAGAGGTGGTGGGTTTGGTCGAGGTGGGTTTGGCTGAGGTGGGTGTGGTCTGAAGGTAGTAGGTGCGCTGGATCTGTGTGAATGGGGGAGATAGATGTGTGTGTTTGCGGTGAATGACGAAGACGAAAGATTGTGAGAAGCTTTAGGAATAGGGTTTATGTTTCTATCACGATTTTGTCTGTTGGTCTAAAATTTCTATAAATTTATTTGCATTGAATATAATAAATTGGGTTCTAAATTTGTTGTCTCTGAAGATTTAATAGCTAAATTTGTTATGGAAATTGGGGTTGCATAGTTTATACCGTGGTCCAAAAAGGGCTTAAAGTAAAATTTTCAAGGTAGATCTCATTTAATATTATAATAAATTTTTTAAATAATTATTAGATTTTTTACAAATAGTTGTGATATGATTTATTTTCAATACTCTAAGTTTTGGGATCGAAAAGAAATAGACAATAAATTGGATATAATTGTAGAGTCATGATCTTATAGATTAATAAATTAATTAAAATCTTAAAGAGACAACTAAAGATAATGACAAAGAACCGGAACAAAATAATAATGAGAGTGGGAGGGAGAGAAAGAATTGAAGAGATGCGGTGAGAGTGATAGAAAAAATAGTGAAAAAAATTTGAGGGAGATTGTGATTTTTAAAGTTAGAAATCGTTACTTTCATATTTTTAGAAGAATTTGTTATATTCTAGGACTTTTTATAAGTTTTTACATACACTTATGAAAATATTGTTATATTTTATGATTTTTTATAAGACTTTAGATAGACTTCTGAAATATATTACGCTTTTAACTTTGTACATTCAAAAGTAGATTAGAACATGAAGTTGTACTAAGAGTTAAAAATTAAATTAGGGCTCTAGGTAACTATTTTAATAGTCAGACCTAGGGCCAACCCTGCTGTGGCTCATCCCATTCAGAAGATCGAAGTATCTGCACATCTTGCAATAACTGAAGTCTTTACTCGTCTTCATTGTCAAGTCTTTATCCACAAAATCAATTAAGTGAGACAAATTGATATTGGATAACATGCAAGGTTTAAAGGTAATTTAGGTGTTATTCTATATTTTATATATTTATTTAATTTGTCAAATCATGTGTGGATTGTTATAAGATATTTGTAATAATAAAGATGTTCAATGTTACAATGTAGTGTTACATAATTTTTATTTTTTAATATTTTATGCACTAAGATATTTTAAATATTACATGTTTTATTTCATACTCAAGCACTTTGCGTGCAACTATTCAATAGTATAATTCATAAAAATTATAAATATATAAAATTATCATCGCTAAGTATACATTTTTTTAATAAACAAATCCATACATCTGGTTATATCTCTCATCTTTTATTTGACCCACATTTTTTAGGATATAATTTATTATTTCATTACTTATGTTCTTTTTATTTATTTTGTATGTTGTTCATGAAAATTATGGTACTACATGATCAACTATTAGTATGCATTCATAATTGCTTGTTATCTTCTTATTGAATTATTTTATTATTTTTTTTAATTTTTTTATTATCCTTAGCTTATTTATTTATGCAACATTTACATACTATTTTATTGTGTTTTATTTTTCCTAATAACAAAGTTTTTTTTATATATTAATTATTTTTTATTGTGGACCTTTTACGAGAATAAACAATTTAATTTGTTGGTGTTTTTATATTTAAGAGAAGTAAAAAATATGTTTAATTTATTTTTATTTGTAGAAAAGAGATATGTTTATTATATTTTTTTATCGAAGTGTTAACCCTTTTTTCTATCTTTTAAAATGTGAATGTGTAATGTGGACTATACTTTTGGACCTAAATTTTAAAATTTATTTTGTTAACTTAATCTTTCATTTAGGGGTATTCAAATTTTCTTATACCCGACCTATCCCGATCCTATTCAACCTGATTGGTCGGCTTTCCGCAAAAAGAAATGGTCAGCTAATTAAAGAATTTTTTATGAGTAATGCTACATAAACTTAAAAATTACACTTAATAATTTTAACCATTGATTTTACTGTGGGTTCCAGCATTTATTGGGACTTACTACCTATTCAATAGTTGAGATTATCAAATTTAATTTTTAAGTCCTCGTGACGGATAAAAATATTGAATAACATTACAATTTCGTTCCGACCCGACCCGCATGTATATTTTTTATCTCTGTAAATCCCTAGCGGCTCATCCTCTGAGTCTCATTATAACTCTCGCCTCTTTCTGCTTCTCTCAGTTGATCGATCCCTACGACCTTCCTTGAACAGGATCTGTTCTATGGGCTTCTACCTCCGAATCCTTGTGTTCTAAAGTTGATCGATCCTTAACGCATCCTCCTATTCGAGTCTCAGAGACTCTCGCCTGTCTCGCCTCCTCCTCTTCGAAGCCACAAGCCACAAGCATCCCAGGTTCTCTCTCTCTCTCTCTCTCTCTCTCTCTCTCTCTCTCTCTCTCTCTCTCTCTCTCTCTGT